AATATTGTGTGCTATCTGTTTGTGCTATCTGGATATGCTACTCTGTAAACAGTTATTCCTGGATATTATTGCAAGATCTAAAGTGGGATTTTCAAACATTACTTAGTTGGATATTGAGAGAAAGCATCTTCTGAGATGGATGTGTAAATTGCAACCATTTAATATTATAAATATAAAATTTATTAAAAACGACTCACTACAGAAAGAGAAACGTGTTAACAATGATATAATTTCAACAAACAACTGAAACATTTATTTAAAGTACATACGCTCGCGAATACCAGTTAAGGAAATTTCGGAGTGAATATTCTTTAAATTCTTTGGAATGGAATCTCATGTTAAAGAATGAAAATTAAGTCTTGGAAAAGAATGGTTCAATTTTCAATCTTTAAAAGTGAGATTTCACTTTACAAAGTGAGATTCACTTTAGATAGGAATATGTATTTCACTTTTATTTAAAAGACAGTCTTTGCAATATTTTGTATTTCAACGAAGCATATAAAAGATTTTGTATTTAAAATCGAAAGATTGCAAGTTTTTTATATTTTGTAATTCAAATAATAAAATTTATTATCAATTTTAGTATTTGAAATACAAAATACTTTCAGTTTTTCGTTATTAATATTGAAGTACAAAATATAAAATATTTATGCTCTCATGAAATATAAGATATTTTTATGTGCCTCGTAGAAATACAAAATACAAAATACAATAATCTTATCAAATGTTTCTCAAATAAAAAAGTATTTTAAATACACGTCCAACCCTGATTCTAAAAGGTTTAAAGAGTATCAATTAGATTTATTTCAGTTTCAATTCATTTAAATATTTTTCCTTTTTTTCAAAATAACAGCTTCTTTTGCATATTTTAAACAGCATAAAATGATTTCCATACTTTCGAGGCGACGTAATAAAATTTTTTTATCAAATAGACATTTTGCGCGCTTTTCGATATTATACTATGCTCAGATGGTATATTATAATTTATAATCATAGCGTAAATGTATTCCATCGAAACGCATGTAAGATGAATTACTTTGTACATACGAGAGTAATGTTAGAAATGATAAGAATCATCCAAGAAAGGAAAACGAAGCGTCGTAATAGGAAACGTAATATAAAAGATATATCAAGTAAATAGAAGTTATTGATAAGAACAGGAGGAAACGAATTCTCTACAAACGAATTCGAAAAGAGAAAAGAAACGTTGCGTTACGTCAATGTATCCGTGCTCAGACTAGATAGATCTTTATTTTGTTCAAATGGATAACGCCGAATAAAACAAGGAATAGAACAAGGTCGGAACAAAAATTTCCATTGTGGACAAAGGACGAATAAATCGATATCTTCTTTTCTTTATAAGAGGAAGAAACTAGTCATATCGTCAGAAAACTTCGCGTTCCATTATTTAAATAACATATTAAAATTTCCTACAAGAAATTTCTTTCAAAGCAACTTGGACAAAG